ATATAATATACTGGATTATATATAATATATTGTTATGATATATTAAATCATATATATTATATCGTATATAATATAGTAAATTATGTATATTATATATATTATAGTAAATTATATATATTATATACAATATAATATGATATAAAATATACCATATATAATATAATGTAAATATATTAAACCATACATAATATATGTATATATATGTACATAATATAATAATATATAATATATTATGTCACAAATAGCATATAATATATCATATATTATATAAGTACATATTATATAATATATATTTATTATATATATTTATATATTATATATACTACATATAGTATATGTGTATTGTATAATATATATTATATATATCATATTATGTCAAATATATTATATAAGTATATAAGTATATATATTATAAGTATAGGATATAAGTATATAAGTATATTTATATAAGTGTTATATAAATAAATACATGTAAATATGTTAATAAATTCACATTATATAAATAACTGTTTGTATCTGGGCTGGGTGGTGCATGTCAGTGGTCCCAGCTTGTTAGGAATGGTGAGACAGTTGCTTGAGGTCGGGCGTTTAAGACCTGCTTGGGCAACATAGCAAGACCCTATCTCTATGGAAAATATATATATATATATAAATATTATACTATATATAAATATAAATATAAACATATATAATATAGAAATTGAAATATATATAATATAGAAATATAAATATATATAAATATATATTTATATAAAATATTTAAAATATAACATTACATAAATAAGTATATATATGTCAGCCTGGTGGTGCACTCCTGTGTTCCCAGCTAGTCAGTAGAGGTGAGAGGATTCCTTGAGGCCAGCAGTTCAAGACCAGCCTGGGCAACACAGTGAGATCCCACCTCTAAAGCAACGTGTCGGCATGGCGTCCAGTTATCCCCTGCTCCTCTTGTTCTCTCTCTCTCTCGTCTATAACTTTTCTCTCAATCTCCGTGTTATCCTTTCTCTCACTCAGTCTCTCTCCATCTCATTCTCAATGTCTTTCTCAGCTACTCTCCCTCAGTCTCTGCCTCTCTCTCTCTCGCATCTCCCTGCCTCAATCTGTCTTTTAATCCTCTCTCTCATTCTCTTTTTCTCTGCCCTTGCTCTGGGGAAACCAAGTTACCACGGTGTAAGTTCTCCTGTCAACAAAAGACTAAATATGTATTAACTTGTCAGGATCTTTTTCCATGTGACCGATTGTAAATTTTAATCTTTTCTCTTAAAAAACGCAGTGTGTTGATTCCTTAAGGATCTAGAATGACAGATACCATTTGATCCGGCAATCCCATGACTGGGTATATGACCCGGAAGACTGCAAATCATGGTACTATAAACACACGTGCCCACGTATGTTTCTAGCGGCACTGTTCACAATAGCAAAGACATGGAACCAACCCGAATACCCATCGATGAGACTGGACAAAGAAAATTGGGCATGTAGATGCCATGGAATACTATGCAGCCATGAAAAAGAATGAGTTCATGTCCTTTGCGGGGACATGGAGGAAGCTGGAAACCATCATTCTCAGAAAACTGACACAAGAACAGAAAATCAAACACCGAAGGGGGAGTTGAATAATGAGAACAAACAGACCCAGGGAGGGGAGCATCACACACTGGGGCCTGTTCTGTTGAGGGGTGGAGTTCTAGGGGAGAGGTACCAGGGGGTGAAGGAACTGGGGAGGGAGAGCAGGGGGTGGGGGGCTGGGGAGGGATAGCAGGGGTTAGGGGGATTGGGGAGAAAGAGCAGGGGATGGGGAGATTGGGGAGGGATAGCAGGGCGTGGGGGGATTGGGGAGGTTAGAAGGGGGTGGGGGGATCTGTCTCCACTGTGTCTCTTTTTTCCTGTGTCTCTGCATCTCTGTGTCCACTGTCTCTTTTTTCTCTGTGTCTCTGTGTCTGTCTCCACTGTCTCCCTCTTTTCTCCTGTGTCTCTGTGTGTCTGTCTCCACTGTCTCTTTTTTCTCTGTGTCTCTGTGTTTCTCTGTATGTCTGTCTCCACTATCTCTCTTTTTCTTCCTGTGTCTCTTCACCTCTGTCTCTACTGTCTCTCCCTTTTTTCTCTGTGTCTCTGTATGTGTGTCTCCACTGTCTCTCTTTTTCCTTGTGTCTCTGTGTCATCTCTGTCTCCACTGTCTCTCTCTTTTTTCTCTGTGTCTCTCTGTGTCTGTCTCCACTGTGTCTCTTTTTTCCTGTGTCTCTGTGCATCTCTGTCTCCACTGTTTCTTTTTTCTCTGTGTCCCTGCGTGTCTGTCTCCACTGTCTCTCTCCTTTTTCCTGTGTCTCTGTGTATCTCTCCATCTCTGTCTCCACTGTCTGTCCTTTTTCTCTGTGTCTCTGTGGCTGTCTCCACTGTCTCTCTGTTTTATCCTCTGTCTCTGTCTCCACTGTCTGTCTCTTTTTTCTGTCTCTGTGTGTTCTCTGCATCTCTGTCTCTGCTCTCTCTGTCTTCTCTCTATATGTGTCGCTGTGTGTCTGTCTCCAATATCTCTCTCGTTTTCTCTGTCTCTGTGTGTCTGTCTCTGCTGTCTCTCTTTTTCTCTGTGTCTCTGAGTGGCTGTCTCCACTCTCTCTTTTTCTTTGTGTCTCTGTGTCCACTGTGTCTCTGTGTGTCTCTGCATGTCTGTCTCCACTGTCTTTTTCTGTCTCTGTGTGTCTCTGCGTCTGTCTCCACTGTCTGTCTGTCTCTTTTTCTCTGTGTCTCTGTGTGTCTGTCTTCACTGTCTCTCTTTTTCTCTGTCTCTGTGTGTCTCTGCATCTCTGTCTCTGCTGTCTCTCTCTTTTTCTCTCTCTATGTGTCTCCCCTGTCTCCCTTTGTCTCTGTATCTCTGCATGTCTGTCTCCAATGTCTCTATTTCCTGTGTCTCTGTGTGTCTCTGCATGTCTGTCTCTGCTGTCTTTTTTCTCTGTGTCTCTGTGTGTCTCTGTCTGTCCCTGTGTGTCCATCTTTCCCTGCTTCCTTCTGTCCCTCTCGCTCTCCTCCTCCTCTGTATCTCTGTCTCTCTCTCTTTTCCTGTGTCTCTGTATCTCTGTCCCTGTCTCTCTTTCTCTACGTCTGTCTCTCGGTCTCTGTTTCCCTGTAGTTGAATTTAAAGTCACAGTTATAATTTAGTTTAAGCTTCTGGTAGGGGTGAGTGGGGCCCCCCACTTAGCCTGTCCCCGAGACAGAGTCCGGTTTTTACAGAAGAACCACCTCCATTTCCCACCCAGAAACTCTCAGCAAACACAGTGTCTTTGGCATGGATGAAAACGGCTCCCGCATTGGACACGATTTATTTCAAAGCCGTTCGTCCGCCGTGGGACTTAATAGTCGGGGTCCCAAGGAAAGAGGGGGTTTGCTTTTTCTCTGAGGACGTTCTTAGATGTCTGAAGAGCCACAGCTCCTGTGTGGCAGCATCCCCGGCGTCCTTCCCGGAGGGAGACCCCGGCACGGTGGAGTTTCCTTGGGGGTAGTGGGTCTGGGCTGCAGGCCATCCCCTGCTGAGGGACCTCGGGCCTGGGAAGGCCAGGGACCCACCGGACCCCCAGGAAAGTCGGGTCCTGGGAGTCGCAGGAGGCCCCTGAGCTGGGAGGAGGGAGAGTTTTTGGGAGGCAGCCAGAGCCAGAGCGCAGCTGTGAGGGGCTCCCTGTGCCATCCCTGGGGACCCAGCTTCGCAGCAGGCAGAGACGCGGGGACGCCTTCGGGAGCAGAAAAGTTATCTGGGCTCGGGGGACCCCGGAAGGTGGCTGTAGCGCAGAGACTGTTCTCTGGATCTCTCTCTCTCTCTGTTGTCTCTGCATCTCCGTGTCTCTGCCTGTCTCTCGCTCCTTCTGTCTCTGTGTCTCTGTCTCTGCTGTCTGTCTTTCTCTGCATCTCCCTGTCTCTCTTTCCCTCCTTCTGTCTCTGTCTCACCATATCCCTGTCTCTCTCACTGTCTCTCTTTCTCTCCTTCTGTCTCTGAGTCTCTGTCTCTGCTGTCTCTGTGTCTCTCCCTGTCTCTCCCTCCGTCTGTCTCTGTTTCTCTGTCTCAGCATATCCTAGTCTCTCTCATTGTCTCTGTCTCTCCTTCTGTCTCTGTGACTCTGTCTCAGCATATCCCTGTCTCTCCCACTGCCTCTCTCTCCTTCTGTCTCTGTGTCTCTGTCTCTGCTGTCTCTATGTCTCTCTACATCTCCATGTGTCTTTTTGTCTGTCTTTCTCTGCTTCTCTGTCTCTGTGTCTCTGTCTCTGCATCTCTGTGTCTCTCCCTGTGGAATAAAGGGAGGAAGACAGGGAGGGAGGAAGGGAGGAAGGAATGAAGAAATGAAGGAAAGAAGGAATGAGGAAGGGAGGGAGAAAAGAAACAGGAGGAGAAAGATGGAGGGAGGGATGGAGGATGGAGGATGGAAGGGGGGAATAAGGACGGTTATTTCTCCAGCTCCTCAGCTCCTCCTCCTCCCCTCAGCGCGCGCCACCCCTCGTTTACGGTGCACCCCCACCTCAATCTGACCGGCGCTGCTGGGAACCCCTTCCCTGCGCCCTGGGGTCGGGGAAACACGGCCCCCTTTCTTTCCGCTGCAGGAGACCAGGGCCCGACTCCCAGGCGCCAACGCTGCGCGCCTCGAACGGGTGTCTCCCGGAAATTTCACCTTCCCCGGGACCCTCCCCAGCTCCAAACGCGAAGGGCGAGTGGGGAAAATGAGGGCATTTTACAGGGTAAAAAAAAAAAAAGAAGAAGAAGAAGAAAAGAAAGGGAAAAAGAGAGGGGAAAAAACTCAACTTTACTTGGTTTCCAGGACTTGGAAAAGGAATTTCAGCTCACGGAGGCGAACCTCGGCTTCCACTGCAGGGTAACCCCGCCAGGAAAGCCGAAAACACCAAGTATATATATATAAAATGTTCTCCCCAGTAAATATCCTACACGCCGGGGTGTCAGCGCGGCGCTAAGCGGGGGACGGCGGCCTCAATCCGGGGTCTGCCGGGGTCTGGCGCGTGCAGAAATGACCCGGTCTGCACGAAGCGCTCCTCCTGGGGACCCGAGCTCCTTTCTGCTGGCGCTGCAGACCCGGGAGGCGGCCACGCGGATCCTCAGCGCTCGCGTCCAGGGTTTGGGGACACCGGGAACCTTCTTCTCACTTCGGGGGGGTCCTTCGGACGCTTTCCATCTCACCCGCGCTCCCCGTGCTCCTCCATCCGGCTCCGAGGGGCCTCCGCCCGGGTCTCCATCCCTCCATCAAAACACGTGCAGCAGCCTCCAACTTCCCAAATCACGGGTCCCGGCGCGCCCCGGTCCCCTCTCCCTCTCCGCCTTCGGAAAGGTGGGGGGAGGGCGGTTCCTGGAAAGGTCCAGGCGCTGGGCTCTGCGCTCCTCCCCTGGAATAGACGATGCGGGGGGGGCGGGGGCGGGGGCCGCGGAACTGCTGGGACCTTCCTCTCTCCAGCCCCGCGAAGTCTTGGTCCACTTTGCTTTTGCGCCGCAGCCACGGAGGAAAGAGAAACGCGGGGACCGGTCTTGGGGGACGCTGGCGGTGCGCGCGCTCTCCCTGCCAAAAAAAACGAAACAAAACCGGGATCTTTACCTCTTCGCACCTCTGAGCGGACGCCAAAAAGAAGCCCAATTGCCGGCCTTGGGGAGGGTGGGGGAGACACCGCCGTCCCTGTGTGCGTCCGCCGCAGGGCCGAGACACCCGTAATTGCTCTAGACAGGCGGCGCGCCGGGGGCTGGGCGAGGGCGGCGCGTCTAAATAGCGAGATTTCCAATGGAAAGGCGTAAATAACAGCGCTGGAGATCCACCCGCGCGCGAACGGGCCGCCTTCGTCCCTCCTCTACGCGGGGACAAGCGCTAACCCACCGGCTCCCGCGCCTCCAAAGCTTCCCGGAGTCCTCCCCGCGCAGATTCCTCCCCGCCGGACTCAGCCCTGGAAGAGCTCACGGCCTTTGTATCCAAATCTTTCGACCAGAAGAGCAAGGACAGGAACGCGGGAGGCGGAGGAGGCGGCCGCTGCGGCGGGAAAAAGAATTGCATCACCTACCGCGAAGTTTTGGAGACCGGACTGGCGCTCGCGGGAGCTGGGGACGTCGGATTCCAGCCTTCACGGAGGGCACCGGCCACTGCACCGTGCATTTGTTCAAGGAGCACGTAGACAACGAGAAGGAGAAGCTCAAGGAATTTGGCACCGCGCGCGTGGTGGATGGTAAGCTCCTCCGCGCGCCCCGCGGCTTCCCCCAGATCCCCTTCCCGGGGTTCGGAGCCGCTTCGCCCCACGGAATCGGCTGGCGGGCGCGGCGCTACGCACATTTACAGCTCCCCGGGTCGGAGGAGAAGGCCCCGAGGCCAGGATTTTCCTAAGAAAGAAACGAAGGCAGGACTGGAGCCCGTTGGAAAAGCTGGGAGGTCTCCACGGTGGGAGGCCCGGGTGCAAGGAGGATGGCAGCTGGGGCCGCGGGCTGCCCGCCGCAGACTCGAACCGCCTCGCATCCTGGGCGCAGACACGGGGCTGGGGTGGATCCTGGCGGCCATGGGGCCTACTATGAACACAAACATATACGTATTTTTGAGGCAGCCTGTCGCCCAGGCTGGAGCGCAGTGGCACGATCTCGGCTCACGGCAACCTCCGCCTCCCGGGTTAAAGCGATTCTCCTGCCACAGCCTCCGGAGTAGCTGGGATCCCAGGCACCCACCACCACGCCCAGCTAGTTTTTCTGTGTTTTTAGTACAGACCGGGTTTTACCATGTTTGCCAGGCTGGCCTCGAACTCCTGACCTCAAGTGATCAGCCCGCCTCGCCTCGCAAAGTGTTAGGGTTCCAGGGTTGAGCTGCTCCCAGCACAGCCGAGGGGCTGGCGTCTATAAGGGTGTGGGTTTCTGTCTCAGTGTCCCTGTGTCTGTGGCCTGCATCTAACGTCACCCACGCGGAAAGAGGACCTCTGTGCCCACCCAGGACACCGGGTTAGACTCCAGGCTACATGGGGGAAACAGACAAAAAGGCCCCCATCTATCTGCCTCCTTCCCTTTCCTTTAAGGAACAATTTCTCCTTCTTCTCCTCCTTCTCCTTCTCCTTCTCCTTCTCCTTCTCCTTCTCCCCTTCTCCTTCTCCTTTCTCCTTTCTCCTTTCTCCTTTCTCCTTCTCCTTCTCTTCTTCTCCTTTCTTTTGTTCTTTCTTCTTTTTTTCTTTGATCCTTGAGGCTGGATCTCGGTGAAAGCTGCTGTCTAAATTAACACCAGTCTGGTGCCCGCAGGTGGCCGGGATCTGGATGGGGCGTGAGGGTGCCCCCGGGAAGCTGGTGGATTCGAGGCCCCGTCCTACTCCAGGCTCTCAGCGCGCAGTCGGGTTTCAGGCAGCCCGGCGGGCCCTGGGGGGGGCGGGGGAAGGGCTCCCCTCCAGCTGTTGTTCCAGAAACCTCCGTGGGAGATCTCCCCGTGGTGGAAACCGGGTTGGGAGAGGCCGTGTCTACCCCACATGCCCCTCCACAAACACACCCACTGGTCTCTGTAAACCTCAAGAAGGAAACGAGCGCAAAGTGTCAGGGTCACAACTGCAGCGGACCATTGAGAGCTATTATTTTTCATTACAGAGAGAGAGAGAGATCCGCTGATGGATTCTCAGAGGTTGGAGGGGAGGGTGAATTTCCCCCAAAGGTAATTTCTCCGAAGAGTTTGGGGCTACCTGCTCTGCTGGGGCCTACATTTCGAGTGCGGGTGGCAGAGTTTTGTGGGGGGATCGGTGGCCTCGCCGCCGTCCAGGGTGACCAGACTGGGTCCCCAGGCCTTGAGCTTGTGAACGCAGAACGCTGTTTATGAATTATAAATCAGTCGTCGGTCGCTGGGAGGCCACGTGGGCCGAGCCGGCCCGGCTTACTCAGCAGTTGCTGAGCTTCAGAGTTTTAGGGCCTGAGATCCATGTCAGACGTTTCGCTGGGTCCGGCGGCCCGTTCTGCGTGATTACTTTTTTTTTTTTTTTTAGACGGAGTATCGCTCTTGTTACCCAGGCTGGAGTGCAATGGCGCGATCTCGGCTCACCGCCTCCTGGGTTCAGGCAATTCTCCTGCCTCAGTCTCCCCAGTAGCTGGGATTACAGGCACGCGCCACCATGCCCAGCTGATTTTTTGTATTTTTAGTAGAGACGGGGTTTCACCGTGTTGACCGGGATGGTCTCGATCTCTTGACCTCATGATCTATCCGTCTCGGCTTCCCAAAGTGCTGGGATGACGGGCGTGAGCCAATTTCCTCCTCTGGCCTCTGTCTTCTTCCCCACATGGCACCACAGCGAAGTGTACTCCAGGTCTTTTGAAAGCGGAAAATAAGGATTCAGGGACCCAGGAGAGGACAGGCAGTGAGTGCCCCCCTCCCCTTTCTCCTTGACTGGGCAGGGACAAGACCCCACCAGCTCATTGTCCCGTGCTGGAAGTAAATGGAGGTTGGAGAGTCGGGGGAGCAGTCACGGGCACCCACCCGTGGAATCCCGTGGCTTTTGCAAAGCCCGCAGGAGGGTGCTTGGAGCCTCCGAAGCCCTGGCCTCCATCACTGGGGTTCATAAGAGAAATGAAGGAGGAAGCTCCAGGGCCAGCTCCAGGGAAAAGGATTCCGGGTGGGAAAGGAACGCCGTGTTCTTGGAAGCACGTGCGTTTTAGGGGGCCAAAGGGAATTTGAAGTCCACGCTGGAAAGAGGGGCCGGCGCTGAATTCCAGCTCGCGGGAGGCCCTGGGGTGGGTGATGGAAGGAAGACACAGAACGCGGCGCCGGCCTCTACCAGGTTCCCCTTGACGCAGGTGGGATTTGTGAGGTTTGCAAGTTTGTGGGTGACCGGGGGCCTCTGAGACTGTTTCAAGGCTCAACTTGCAAATGGCAACGTCTTACCCTTGACACCAGCCTGGGCCACGCGGGGCTCTTCCTCTGCGCCCAGCAGGCCCGGAGATGGGAACAGACGGGCGCCAGAGGAGCCGCTTTCACCAGCGCTGGGTCGATGAAGGGCATGGCAAGGCTCTGGATGTGTAACCTTAGCTTTCTAGCTGGAAACACCCGACAGCGGACTTTTCATGCCCTTCCCTGTCCCGCAGCAAATAAAAGCAGATCACCTTTTTTTTTGTTTTGGCGGGGACGCAGGGCCATTTCTGGCACCCTGGTGGGGTGGGTGCGCGACCGACAGCACGTACCTGGGAAAGAGGGATTTCTTCGAACGGGGTTCGAGTCCCAGGTTGCGGCGGTGCGTTCCCCATGGGCGGTGGTGTTCAGCTGTTCTGGTGACAGTTTCCGTGAGGAGGGGGCTTTTCTAGCTCGGCCAGATCCCGGAGGGTCCCCGAACCCCGAAGCCCAGCTGCGCTGCAAAGGGGGATACCGTCTCTCCGCGGACCAAGAATCCGCAACCTGCCTGTCCAGTTCCCGGGCGCCCCGCCGGGGACCCCACAGTCGTCAACTGTTCCAAAAAATAATAATAATTATTATAGTAATAATAATTTTCTTTAAAATAGGATTTGACACCCCAGTGTCCTTTGTTATGTCAACACACTAGAAGTGGATAATTGAGGAAACTATTTGGAGGAGAGGAGGTCAAGGAAACAAGGTTCTTATCCTAAAAAGCGGCTTTTGCCGCGTGGCAGGTACGCTGGCCCTGCGTAAAGGCGCATCGGGTTTTCGGGGTACCCCGTGTCCACCGCGGGACACTCCTGGCGCGGAAATACCCCCCCGCCACCCCGCGATGCGCGTCCGGTGCCAGGTCGTCTGCTCGCTGGAGCTTGGGGGGTGGGGGGTGGGCGCGCGCGCACTCGCGCTCGCGGAGGTGACCCCCGGGAGGGTTTGGAGAGGCGCCCCCCCACCTCAGCGCCGCACCCCCCGCCGCCACGCAGGGATTTACGAATGCAAAGACAAACGCGACGACGTGAAGTTGGAGGACGAGGACCCGCAGGCCAAGCTGAAGCAGAGGCGCAGCCGCACCAACTTCACGCTGGAGCAGCTCAATGAGCTGGAGCGGCTGTTCGACGAGACGAACTATCTCGACGCCTTCATGAGCTAGGAGCTCAGCCAGCGCCTGGGGCTCTGGGAGGCGCGCGTGCAGGCAGGAACCCCAGGGTTGGGGGGGACCCGCGGGGCGCACCGGCTGCGCCAACTGCGCCCTGGTCACCGCCAGGGGCCCTGCCCGGAGCGCGCGGAGCTGGGGCACGCGGGGCGCGTGGGGTGCGCGGCCTTGGGGAGACGCCTGCGGCCTGTGGGGTGGCATATCCCGGGGTTTGTCTGCGCGAAGATCCAACAAATACACGCATACGCACATATATGTATGTTGTGTTTCTGTATGCCTACGCATGTTTGCCTTGAGATTTGGGTATGTGTCTCTTGTATGTTTGTATATGTGTATATACATATATTTGTTTGCTTTTACATGTATGTTTATATATGTAAACGCATACACCGTAGTGATATATATATAAAGGCGTGTAAAATATCTATTTATATATATGAAGTCATACCACTATATATATATATATATATATATATATAAAGGCATTTAAAAATATCTGTGTGTATATATAAAGGCATACAACATAGTTATATATACATAAAGGCATATAAAATATATATTTATATATAAAGGCATACAAATAGTTATATATATATATAAAGGCATACAATGTGTATATTTATATATATAAAGGCATATGACATACGTATAAATAAACACGTATAAAAAATATATATATATATTGATATATAAAGGTATATGAGATAGTTTTATATATATATAAAGGCATATAAAATATACATATATTAATATATATAAAGGCACACATTTGTTTATATTTATTTGTAGATATATTTTTTATATATACATAAACACATATTATGTCTATTCATTTGTAGATATATTTATATATAAAGGAAAACGCATTCGTGTAGAGACATATATATATATAAAGGCCTATAAAATATTTATATTTATATATATAAAGGCAAACATATACATATATATACACATATATGTAAGGGCAAACAATGATATATATTTGTTTATATATTTGTATATATTTTTTATACAAACATGCATATTTGTATATACATTTCTTTGTGCAAATATGCATATTTGTACATGTATTTATTTGTATATATATCATATATATTTATTTAGAAAATATATATTTATATGTTTGCTTAGAAAATATATATTTATATATTTGTTTTGGAAAAATATATTTACATATTGTTTTTGTAAATATATATTTGTTTCTATAAATGTTTATATATTTTGACCCGTGATTACTTTCGGTTTCCGTGGGGTCAGTCCATTCAAACACCGTTTTCCCTTGATTTTGCTTAGGACGTGAAGATAGATACAGTTAGGTTTTGAAGCAGAGTGTTTTACAAGCTCTTTCATTTAAAAACATGTATCAAGGCCCCTGATTCCGTTCTGTCTTCCCTTCCGACTGCATTTAGGGTCCTCAGGAATCCTACCAGGCTCCTCAGCGTGCTTAGGAATAAGAGGGGTGCAGTGTGACCCTAGGTGGTCAGAAATAGGGTCCTGTCTTTCCTCCATCTCCCTCCTCCCTTCCCCAGGACCCCTCCTCCCTCCTGCTCCCGGGAGCTGTGGGGAGAATGAAGGACACTTTTGGCATCTGGATGAGAGGAGACCATTAGGCCAGGCCTGGGGGTCTCCCAGAGGCACGTGCCAATCCACAGTGCCCATCTGAGCAGGCACGGGGTACCAGGAGCGTGGCATTCACTTAAATGTATAAATTTATTTCCTGGGGACCAGGAGCATGGGCATGTGGGGGAGGGGGAAGAGGCTTCCTCGGTTTTGCACACATTGAGTTAAATGTATGAGTTTATTTCCTGGGTGCTGGTGGGAGAGCAGGTTCCAAGCTCATCCCCCTGGCAGCTGAACTCCTCCTGGTTCTGCACAGGACAGAAGGGAGCCAGAGAGAGGGAGAGAGCGGGAGAGTGACAGGGTTGGGATCCCCGGGCCCGGGGGATAAGATTGCCCACTGGGGATGCATCCATTCAAAGCAAAGTGCTTAGCCAGAGATAGGGGGAGCGTTTTACAAGATCTTTCATTAAAATGCATATATATATAAAATGTATATGTATATACATGAAATTAAATACATATGTTTATACATATGTGTGTTACATGCAGGTGTTCCCAGAAGTTTCATTAAAATATATATATAAATTAAATTAAATATATATTGTTAATAAAAGATCTTGTAAAACAGTATATATATGTGTGTGTGTGTATGTATGTCTGTGTGTGTATATGTGTGTGTGTATATGTCTGTGTGTATATATGTGTATGTATATATATGGCTGTGGGTGTGTATATATTTGTCTCTGTGTGTGTATGTCTGTGTGTGTGTATATATGTCTGTGGGTATATGTATGTCTGTGTGTGTTTATATATGTCTGTGGGTATATATATGTCTGTGTGTCTGTATATGTGTGTCTGTGTGCTGTATGTGTGTGTATGTATGTCTGTGTGTGTGTCTATATGTGTCTATGTCTGTGTGTGTCTGTCTCTGTGTGTGTGTCTATATGTCTGGGTGCGTGTGTCTGTATGTATCTGTGTGTATATATATGTCTGTGTGTGTCTGTGTTTCTGTGTGTCTATATGTCTGTCTGTGTGTATATATATGTCTGTATATATATATATGTCTGTGTGTATATATATGTCTGTGTGTGTATATATCTGTGTGTGTGTATATATATGTTCGTGTGTGCATGTATATATATTTCTCTGTGTGTATATATGTCTGTGTGTGTTTATATGTCTGTGTGTGTCAGTGTGTATATATATGTCTCTGTTTGTATATATATGTGTGTCTGTGTGTGTATGTACATGTGTGTCTATATTTCCGTGTGTGTGTGTGTGTGTGTTTGTAACTCCTCATTCCTTTGCGTTTCTCTGGGGTACATTATTGTCAAGCACAAGTTTCCCTCCATGTTGGACACAGATGAGTTAGCTGCAGAGTCTCTTTTGAGATGTTTCATTTAAAAAATATGTTTTGGCCCCCGATTCCCTGGGTCCCTTGTGTCTTCCCCTGTGGCTGCCTTGAAAAGCCTTTCTCAGAATCCTGAGCGTGAAATAAAGACTTCCAGGTGCTGTCGTGTAGGTGACAGCTGTAGTCCCCCCACAAAAAACGCATCTGTCCAGGTCCGGGAGATCCTGGTCAGAATCTCTGTGGCCTCCAGGAGGGAAGGAAGCTTTCGTTACCTCCAGCCCTCTCCCAGAAGATGGATTGGACGGCCCCAGATAAGTTAATGAAAATATTAAAGTTTGGGTGATGGGGTGGGGGTTTGGGGGGGTGTCCCATGTATGTCACGTCCCGGTGTGTCTGTCTGCCTGGGACCTCTCGTACGTCCCCGGCTGTTGATGGACGGTTTCTATAAAAATAAATTACTCGTAATTTAATTCCACACTATTTCTTTCCGTAGTATTACCTTACAACTGTGGCACAAAATTGGTGACAGTGGGGTGTGTCTGCACCCCCCTTCCACCCCGTAAAATAAACACACTTCGGGGGGAGACAGCCCAGGGCTATCGATCCTGGAGGTCCAGGGAAATTTAACCCTGGTAATAATCATAATAATAATAGTAACAGATATGGGAACGGAATGAAAGGCATCATTCTCCGTGGCCCGCAGGGAGAACTGTCCAGTCGTAAACGTTGGCCAGCAGGGTTCAGGTCCTCCTGGAAAAAATCAATTGGTTCAAACAGGGATATCACTCCCCCCCCAACCCACACAGTGGAAGGTGTCAAGGGTGGAAGGGACCGGGTCCAGGAGGGATATTTTATTTTATTTTTATTTATTTATGTTTTGGAGACGGAGTTTCGGTCTTGGCACGCTGGCTGGAATGCAATGGCGTGATCTCGGCTCACCACAACCTCCGCCTCCTGGGTCCAGGGAATTTTCCTGCCTCGGTCTCCCCAGTAGGGATTACGGGCACGCGCCACTGTTCCCAGCTAATTTTGTGTATTTTTAGTAGAGACGGGTTTTCACCATGTTGGTTGAGCTGGTCTCGAACTCCTGACCTTGTGATCCACCCACCTCGGCCTCCGAAAGTGCTGGGATAACACACGTGAGCCATGGCACCTGCCCAGCACCTTTTTCATTTGCCTGCTTGCAATTTTTAAAAAGCGACAATAAGTAGTTACTTTACACAGGTGAAAACTACTTTTTTTTGTTTGTTTTTGAGACGGAGTTTTGCTCTTGTTACCCAGGCTGGAGTGCAATGGCGCGATGTCGGCTCACTGCAACCTCTGCCTCCTGAGTTCAGGCAATTCTCCTGCCTCAGTTCCCCCAGTAGCTGGGATCACAGCCACCGCCACCATGCCCGGCTAATTTTTTTTGTATTTTTAGTAGAGACGGGGTTTCACCAAGTTGGCCTGGATGGTCTCGATCTCTTGACCTCGTGATCCACCCGCCTCGGCTGGGACGAGGAGGGATATTTTAGTCCCAGGGATCTCAGAGTACTTGGGTCCCCTCTCTGGGTACAGCGTGTCCCCCGCTCTCAGCCGATAGAGTTTCAATGGAGTGTGGGACTTCGCGGGTCGTCATTAACCTTTTATTTTAGTGGTGGGTGTTGGTGGGCGGGGGGGGTCTTTGGAAACTCATATCGCCCAGCTGTCAGCGTTGTAATGGAAAGTTATGAGAGCGCGGTGAGTGGCCAGCCCGTGATTCATTACAAACAGCCACCTCCGGGTTTATGGCGCATGGCTAAATTAAATGTCATTATTTACTGTCTCTAATGGAAATCAAAAGGAAATCGCTTTACTGGTGTTTGTGGAAGGAATCCGTGACTGCCTCTTAATGAAGAAATAAGTCTCTAAAACAGTGTAACACACTTCGCTTTACCATATTCGGGCCTAATTGGACTTGATCCCGAATCACTCACTCCAGCCTTGATTTATGAGCATCTCGCCAAGCACCTAATTCATCACGTTTATTTTTCAGAATCATTATTTCCGCCCCCACACCCCGCCTCGCTTTTGGAAAGGGAGACGCAACCAGGATTTCCAGATTTCAGGAGGATTTTTTTTTAATGGCCTTCCTGGGGCTTCCTTGCCAAGCAGTGCAGGGGCAGTGTGCTTTGGGGTGTCAAGGCGGGCTTTGGAAACAGGGCAATGGTGGGTGAATTTCAATGTTATAGCCCAGGCTGGGGATTTTTTTTTTTTTTTTGATGGGGGTGTCAGGAGGATTTGCTGGGCAAAAGGATAACGTTTTCATCCCGGCGGGAGTCACTTACGGACTGAAAATGTTATTCCGAAACCGCTGAGGGATGCTCCGTCCTGGGTTCGAGACCACGTTGTTTCGCCTCCAAACTCCCAGGGATTTCTGAGGTTCGATTTACAGGGGCGCCGGCCCTGGGCTCTGCACGGCCGGGGGCGATGGCTGCCGGTTTTTGCCCAGAACAGCTGGAGCTGGGACGCTCACCCGCCTTGGCTAAGGGTCCCCGTCTCTGCACAACAATTTTTCTTGTGCACTGGAGTGTGGGTCTGCTTGCAGGTCGGGCTGCCACAGAAAACCTGTGAAACGGAATCCAGGGACTGACACTGCCAAGGGGGTGCTGTGGGGGGCGCCGGAGGGAGCCTAAGTTCCCCGCCTTTCCCAGCTGGTCAGCTTGGGGCAGAGGGGACTCTGAATTCCAAGCCTGTGGGAGGCCAGGGGGTGGAATCTGCACCCAAGTCTTGACATGAGGCCTGTGATTTTCCCCAGGCTCCTCGGGTGGGGCGGGGAATCCCCTGTTCTGCTGCACCCCACTTTGTCGAGGCTTCCCCCGAGACTCAGAAGGCGTAACAGGAGCACAACGCCCCTATTGCCACAGCCTGCTATTCCTGGGTGGGAACCTCTCCAGGATGTTCACGACTCCCATAATATGAATGGAGTCCCTTCAGCTCCCCAAGGCTTCCTAGGAGGTGGGGAAGGGAAACACGTTTTCTGGGCTCCAGGGACTCTTAAGCCATCGGCTCGCCCACTGCCTTGCTGGGTAAAGTGTGAAGGTCGAAAGCCGGGGTTTTTCTCAGGGTCTCCAGGCATCGGGAGTCCGGGTGCCCACCCAGAACGCTGCGAAGTTGCAGAGTGCATGTTTCATGTCTCAGAATACAACTTTCATTTTAAATTAATCGGTATTGACTCACACGTGTCAGTTACTTGGGGCAGAGAGTGTTTGAGGCCAGCCTCAGTGGCCCACGCCTGTCATCCCAGCACTTGGGAGGCTGAGGCCGGCAGATCAGTTGAGGTCCGGAGTTCGAGACCAGCCTGGCTAACATGGAGAAATCCCGACTACTCTAAAAATAGAAAAAAATAAAAATAAATCAATTAGCCGAGTGTGGTGTGGGGGGAGCGTCTGTGATCCCAGCTACTCGGTAGGCTGATGCAGGAGAATCGCTTGAACCCGGGAGGGAGAGTTTGCAGGCCATTGCACTCCAGCCTGGGCGACAGAGCGAGACTCTGTGTCAAAATAAAATAAACCATGAAAACAAAATTAAAACAAACAAACGTTAAAAAGAAAATCCCCATAAATTCCAGTTCTAGGTAGGCAGTTATGCATGGGTGGATACAGAGGGTCCATAAGGGGCTGACACCCCCATCCCCCGTCGGTTACCTCCGGGCTCCCAGAGGTGCAAAAGTGCTCCGTGCAGCCTGGCAGGGAGGGTGCTCCCTGTCCAGGCCCCGGGCTGAATCCTGACACCCTTGTGCAAACTCTGTCTGCCTTCCCACCGAGGTGTGGTTCCAGAATAGAAGAGCCAAGTGCAGGAAACAGGAGAATCAGATGCATAAAGGTGGGTGTCGGGGATTGGGGGTGGGACCCCGAAGCTGGTGGGGGGGTGGTGGTGGTGGTGGGGCCTTCCTGGGGGGACCCCCCCACACACTCACGCCTCTTCCTTTTCACCACAGGAGTGGCACCACCAACCACCTAGACGGCTGCCGAGTGGCACCCTACGTGAATATGGGAGCTTTGCGGATGCCTTTCCAACAGGTAGCTGGTTTTTCTTCCTCTGAAAAACCCCGGGGACCCGTTGCCTCCTCCTCTGCTGCCCGGCCCCCGCCCCCACTGACTCCCAAATTCTAACACTCCCGGCTCCTCGGCTAGCCCTGCGGAGCGGGAGGCAGTGGCTTTTCCAAGGGAGCATTTAGAGGCGTCTTGGCACGTATTAAATCAGGCTAGACTGGGCGCGGTGGCTCCTGTCTGTCATCCCAGCACTTTGGGAGGCCGAGGCGGGTGGATCACCTGAGGTCGGGAGTTCGAGAGCAGCCTGACCCACACGGTGAATCCCCGTCTCTACTAAAAACACAGAAATTAGCCGGGCGTGGTGGTGTCACGCGCCTGTCATCGCACCTACTTGGGAGACTGAGGCAGGAGAATCGCTTGAACCTGCGGGGGGACGGAGGTTGGCTGATATGACACCAATTTACTCCAGCCTGGGGACACAGCAACACTCTGAGAAAAGAAAAAAAAAATAGATATATCACGCTGTAAACTCCAAGGGCCTCCTTTGGAAAGGTGAACATACACAAGCTTCAGCAGAAATCTTACAAAAATCAGAGTGGTGAGAAATCCCACCCCGCCAGGCATCGCCCCCCGCAACCCCACCTGGCTGTCTGCCTGGTTAAGAAATGTGGGATGCCTGGGCCTGAGGATCAGAGATGGGATAGAGCCTTGGGGACCTGGTGTTCTGGGGAGAGAGGATTGGGTAGCTGGCATCCCAGAAAGAGGCTTGGGGAGCTGGTGTTCCCGGGAGACAGGATTGGGGAGCTGGCATCCCAGAAAGAGGCTTGGGGAGCTGGTGTTCCCGGGAGACAGGATTGAGGAGCTGGTTGTCCCAGAAAGAGGCTTGGTGACCTGGTGTTCCCGGGAGACAGGACTGGGGAGCTGGTGGTCCCAGAAAGAGGTGGGGGAACTGGTGTTCCCGGGAGACAGGATTGGGGAGCTGGCTTTCCAGAAAGAGGCTTGGGGAGCTGGTGTTCCCGGGAGACAGGATTGGGGATCTGGTGTCCCAGAAAGAGGCTTGGGGAGCTGGTGTTCCCGGGGGACAGGATTGTGGAGCTGGTGTCCCAGAAAGAGTCCTGGGGAGCTGGTGTTCCTGGGATACAGGATTGGGGAGCTGGCATCCCCTCGTGAAACTCATGTCCCTTTCACTAATCCCTCAAGTGCCCGAAGGCCTGGGGCGTCTACCCGGCTCCTGCTGCCCCCCCACTTCCGTCCTGGGCTGTGCACCTCTGAGCTGGTAACACCCTGCTCAGCTCCCAGCCGACTTGGGATTGGGTGTGTGTGGCGGGGATTTGGGAACTGCGTGGAAGGGGGTGCAGGGTTTTGGGACAGTGCCCACTTGCGCCCTGGCTGGACGCAGCACGGCTGCCTTGGTTTCCAATTTGGGGGTCGAGACTGCAAGCCGTGAAACGGGGCTGGGGGCACACAGCGGGGACGCGTGGTCTCCGTTCTTGACCGTTTTATTCCAAGGGGACAAGTCGGCGTTTTTTATTCGCGCGCTCGTTTGCCGAAGGGCGTCAGGTCCCAGACGTCTGGCCTCTGCCTCTGCTGGCTGAGGGTGGAGGGCCATGGGGTTGGCGCTGGGAGCTGCAGGTATAAAGCTGTAAATCGTAAATGAAAAATTCAGAAATGGAGCCCGAGCGGGAGCTCTCCAAGTCTCCACGGCTCAGGCCCGAAGAAGTGGGGTCCGCGTCCCTCCTGTTCTCCCCTCCTGGGCATGTGGCCTCCAGGCTGGGGACAGAGCCCACCTCTTGCACAGTCTCTGGGATGCAGGACCGGGTGAAATGAGGCCGCTGGAGCCTGCAGGCCTGCCTGGCTTTGCGCAATGGAGCCTTGGGGAGCTGGTGTCCCTGGGGGAGAGGCTTGGGGACCTGGTTTCCCTGGACCAGGCTTGGGGAGCGGGGAGAGGCTTGGGGCAGCTGATGTCCCCGAGGAGACGCTTGGGGACCTGCTGTCCCTCGGGGAAGGCTTGGGGACCTGGTTTCCCTGGAAGAGTCTTGGGGAGCTGGTGTCCATAGGGAGAGGCTTGGGGACCTGCTGTCTCTGGGGAGAGGGTTGGGGAGCTGGTGTCCCCCCACATCCCAGGCTTGGGGACCGGCTGTCTACAGGAAGAGGCTTGGGCACCTGATGTCTCTAGGAACAGGCTTGGGAAGCTGTTGTCCTTAGGAGAGGCTTGGGGACCTGATGTTCCCAGGAGAAGCTTGGGAAGCTGGTGTCTCCGGGGAGAGGGTTGGGGAGCTGGTGTCCACGGGAGAGGCTTGGGGACCTGATGTTGCCAGGAGAGGTGTGGGGAGCTGGTGTTCCCTACTTGGGGGCGGTGGGATGAGCCGCTGTCCAGACCCTGAATCCCGGGAAACAGAAGGCATCTTGAACTCCCGGGTGGGTGCCCCGATGCTACTCCGATGCGCTTTTCGGGGAGCTGTTTGGATTCCCCTGGCCCAAGCTAGTCTGGAAGTCAGCACCAGCTCTGGGCCGGGGGAAAGAGGACAGTCAGATGGGGGTGTGGCTTGCAGAGTTGGAGAAGGGATGACGCTCTGCGGGGGAGAGGAGACGCGTTGGGGGGCTTGCAGGGGGGGAAGGGTTCCCCAATCCCCAATCCTGCGCCCTCACCCCGCCCGGGTCCGCTTCGCAGGTCCAGGCTCAGCTGCAGCTGGAAGGCGTGGCCCACGCGCACCAGCACCTGCACCCGCACCTGGCGGCGCACCCGCCCTACCTGATCTTCCCCCCGCCGCTGTTCGGGCTGCCCATCGCGTCGCTGGCCGAGTCCGCCTCGGCCGCCGCCGTGGTCGCCGCGGCCCGCGAAGAGCAACAGCAAAAACTCCAGCATCGCCAACCTCCGGCTCGAGGCGTGCAAGGCCGCGGAGGCCCTGGGGCTCTGACCCCAGCGCGCCCCCCGCCTTTCGCGCCTGCGGACTCTGGGGCCCCGCGCACCCAGCCTGCACAGCGACCTGCACTCCAACTCCCCTTCGAGCTCCTCCCGCGGCCCGCAGTCCTTCTGAACCCAGGGTCTCTTCAGTGGTTTCTGCACCCCGGGGGCTCCTCAGTGCACTGGCACCCGCGTGCTCTTGCACCCCGGGGGATCCTCTGTGCTTCTGAAACCTGGAGTGTCCTCAGTGCTCGTGCACGCCAGGGGCTCCTCCGTGCTCCTATAACCTGGGTGCTCCTGCACCCTGGAAGCTCCTCATTGCACCGACACCCTCGTGCTCCTGCACCCTGGGGGCTCCTCTGTGCTTCTGAAACCTGGGGGGTCCTCAGTGCTCGTGCACCCCGGGGGCTCCTCCATGCTCCTATAACCTGGGTGCTCCTGCACCTGGAAGCTCCTCATTGCACCAGCACCCTCGTGCTCCTGCACCCCGGGGGCTCCTCTGTGCTTCTGAAACCTGGGGCGTCCTCAGTGCTCCTGCACCCCAGGGGCTCCTCACTGCTTCTGCACCCCCGGGGCTCCTCATTGATTCTGCACCCCAGGGGCTCCTCTGTGCTTCTGAAACCTGGGGTGTCCTCAGTGCTCGTGCACCCCGGGGGCTCCTTCATGCTCCTATAACCTGGGTGCTCCTGCACCTTGGAAGCTCCTCGTTGCACCGGCACCCTCGTGCTCCTGCACCCCGGGGGCTCCTCTGTGCTTCTGAAACCTGAAGGGTCCTCAGTGCTCGTGCACCCCGGAGGCTCCTCCATGCTCCTATTACCTGGGTGCTCCTGCACCCTGGAAGCTCCTCATTGCACCGGCACCCTCGTGCTCCTGCACCCCGGGGGCTCCACTGTGCTTCTGAAACCTGGGGTTCTCCTCAGTGCTCCTGCACCCCAGGGGCTCCTCACTGCTTCTGCACCCCGGGGGCTCCTCAGGGCTCCTGCACCCTGGGGGCGCCTCAGTACACTGGCACCCTCGTGCTCCTGCAACCAGGGGGGCTCTTCTGTGCTCCTGAAACCTAGGGGAGGGCTCCTCAGTGCTCCTGCACCCCAGGGAGTCCTCCGTGCTTCTGCAACCCTGGGGCTCCTGCACCCCAGGGGCTCCTCAGTGCACTGGCACCCACCTGCTCCTCCAAGCTGGGAGTTCCCGCAGAGACCTGGGGAGGGAGCTCCTGGGACGGTCCATGAACGGAGATGGTGCAGGAGGTGGAGGGGGTGAGCCGCCGTGTGCCCTGCCCGGCCCCTCTCCAAGGCCCCTCATGCGTCCTGGGACCCTGGAGAAGGGGAACCCCGCACCCACCTGGCTGCGTCCTCCTGCGCTAAACACCCTCTATGCATGCGGATAAGTACACACCTTTGGAAGATCTTACCGTCGAAGAAACTGCAAAGGTCCCAGGGCTGGTCTCCTATGGAAACGCCATTTCTTCGTTGCCAAGGATTTCCTACACCCTCCCTCATCCAAGGAACTGCAGAAACCGGTGTGGATCT